GCATGGCCTTCAAATACCAGACAGAGTCAGACCCCACAGGGCGGCAGGAGCAGGCTGCGGCAGCAATGGGGGGACACAGCCATCCTGATGGTGTTTGTTTTTCCCCTGTGTAAACCAAGCAGTGGGTGTGTGAAGGATTTGCCTTTTGCTTGCCTGTTGCTTTTTTATACACCAAAGAGAAAGCAAATTTTGATTTTGTTCAGTAATAAAGGGCACCCAACAACTGAATTCTTACCTTTAAGCTAGCTGTCGCCAAAAGGGATGCAAGGAAGAGAGCTGATAGACTGTTCCTTTTGAGCCCACTCTTACGTCAAAAGAGCTTATTGTTTTTCATTGCCATGTATCGCCTGGCAGACCTGGGCGACATCCTTGTTGCCCCTGGACTTAGGGAGAAGTCCTTGCTAAAAGCAAGATGTAGAAGTGGGAGTGACCTATGAAAAAAGAAATGAATTAAATTTGATATGACACATCATATAAGGAAGAATAATTGTAGACACAGGCATGCAGAGGTTGGGTGTAAGTATGTTAGTCCCCACCCTCTTCGTCAGCAGTCACACAACCTTGGACGTTAGAGCTCTAACCATCTGATCTAGAGAAGGAATGTTGCTGGGGAAGGGAAGCCCAGGGCGAGGTGAGAGATGACAGAACCTCTAACCAGGAAGAAGCTGTCCCTGCCAAGCTCCGGAGAGGCGCAGAAGCATGGCCCTCAGGTATGGGACCTGATCTATAGGAAACCCTGTGGTGTGCCCCAATGGGAGGTCCGCCAGGGAAGGACCAAACTGCAAACCTGATTCTGAAAGAGGAGGCCACCACAGCGTCCTTTGTAATTGCACAGCTTGCAAGGACAGGACAGATCCTGTGGTTTTCCTGGGGAAGGAGGGGAGCCTAAAAGCCACGAATGATGTGGACTTCTTTAAGCAGCAGGGAAGGGGTAGCTTTACAGTGGGGCTGTTAAATCTCAGCAGTCACTTCATTCAGCGCAGCCTGCGCCTGTGGTCTTGGCTGTGGCAGCAGAAGGCGGGATCAAGGTGCCCCGGGATCAATCTTGGTCAGCCTCTGAGGAGGTGGGAGTGCAGGGTGTCACTCTGGATGTGCCTGCCTGCTTTTCCTCACTTTCTTGCCTTCCTTGTCTTCCCCCCGCTTTCTTCCCTCCTTCCTTTCTTCCTCTCCTCCCGTCTTTCTTTCCTCCTTTCTTTCGCCTTCCCCTTGTACACCCCTTGACTTCACCATCGTAAAGTTTGTCTGAGATTTTTCAATGAGTAATGTTTTATGATTGCTTCGGCTACATTATTTCAATCCAGTCTGCCTTCCTTGTTTCTCCAACACTTCTAAGCCCTTTTCTCCTTTTCTTTGGCTTGTTTTGTTTTCTACTACCTATCCTCTGACTAGTTGTTGTTTGTTGGTTTGTTTGCTCTTAAAGGGTCCAAGATAAACAAACTATTGCAGGCATGAAAAGCGCCAGGATTTTAGAGCGGACTGTGGAGGGGGAGGGTCAGGAGGGGAGGGGAGAGGAGACGGTTGAGGTAGGGAGGAGGTGCGTGTGCTGCCTCCCACCTGTCCTATTTATCCACCTGATCTATGAATTACCAGCAGAAAATGAAAGTAAAGGAGGAGTAGAGGCTGGGGACGAAATCCTGGGCTTTAGAAATGGGGTAATTTGAGAGTATCCTGAAAGGTAAAACGTTACACACGTGTGCACAGTTCCACAGAGGGAGTGATTTTTCTCTCTATGGAACTGTTGCTGTACTTGGGGTTTCTATCTTACAACTGGTGTCAGAGTTGATAGAAATATAGCATTTGGCCCTTATTCCAGAAACACGTACTACTTAATATTGTTAATACTCTTTGTATGCACAGGTCCTGGCAACTAGATTACATCTTTCTTGGGTACTAGACCTCCATCTTTTTTTTTTTTTTTTTTTTTTGGCAGGAGGGTTGTGCTTTAATATGCTATATCCAATTGGGGGCAGGTAAGACACCCCTGGTCTATGCTTATTATGAATATTTGCTCATATAACCCCCAGCACCCCCATATGGTAGGAATACTATTATGCCCATTTACAGATCAAGTGGCTGAGGCCCAAAGTCCCATAGTATCAGGGTTTTCCGTCTCCTGAGCCCATCATCGTAATACCTGGGTGACATGGCTGGCACAAACTGAAAATGTCTTGACTGATTTCAGACAGACACAAGGTTCACTGGTAGTGCTTTCATTTTTAATCTATAGCTATTAAATCGTTCATTCATTCCACATTTTTTGACTGCCTACTGTGTACCAGCTGCTATCTTAAGTGCTAAGGATTAGACTTGAAGAAGGGTGGAAAAGATGGGTCATGAACAAATAAACCGATGACAGAATGTCCCATGGTGACATGTGCTAGGAAGCAAACTGAAGCATGGTAAGGAAAGAAAGGGTGGCAGGAGATGCAGGGCTGACCCAAGGGATTCTTCCACATTCCATGGGTCCTCCCAGGAAGAGCTGGAAGTTCAAGGGATTTGGTCCTCAAGCATGAAATGATTTGGGGTTGTTCCTAGTTTTCTGTGCTGCTGCAGCAAATTACTACAAGCTCAAGGGTTTAAAACAATGGAAGTTTATTGACTCCCAGTTCTAGAGATGAGAAGTCTGAAATTGGTATCAGTGGGCTTGATAGAGGGGTGGGAATCAGGCATCAAGGTGTCACCAGGGCCACACTCTTTCAAGAGGCTCAAGCGATGAATCTGGTCCTTGCCTCTTCCAGCTTAGAGGGAGGGATGGGGGGCCGCCAGTGCTCCTTGGTTTGTGACCTCCTTGCTCCAATCTCTGCCTTTTTGGTCACATTGCCTCTTCCTCTTCTGTCTATGATCAAATGGCCTTCTGCCTCCCTCTCATAAGCATTTATTTAATTGTATTTAGAGTTTAGTTTGTCACCCAGATAAAGCAGGCAAACCACCATCTCAAAACCATACACTTCCTCACCTCTGCAAACACCTTTAATTTGGGGGCTGGGGTGGCATATAAGATACTATTTACAGGTTCTAGGGATTAGGATGTGGCTATCTTTGGGGGCCATTTTTCAGCCTACCATAGGGAGTTATTTGTGGATTTTATTTTTTTAATGTAAATCTAGCCCCTTTTAACTGACCAGCCATTCTACACTTCTTAAAAAGCACCAATCCTGTTCGCTGTGGGCAAAAGCTTATGAAGTAGCATCCCTGGGAATTCATCCATGATTGAAAGAGGGAAGGAGGGACAACAGTGAAGACAGCAACACAGCCAGTGATGAATGACCTCTCCTTCTAGTGCATGTGTTTCATGGAGACAGCGGGACTGGGGATGCAGAGTCTGCTTTGGCTCATCTTTTTAAAGGCTGTAGGCTGGGCACAGTGGCTCATGCCTGTAATCCCAGAACTTTGGGAGGCCAAGGCAGGCAGATCACTTGAGGTCAGGAGTTTGAGACCAGCCTGGCCAACATGGCAAAAACCTGACTCTACTAAAAATACAAAGATTAGCCAGGCATAGTGGCACCTGCCGGTAATCCCAGCTACTTGGGAGGCTGGGGCAGGAGAACCGCTTAAATCCGAGAGATGGAAGTTGCAGTGAGCCGAGATTGTGCCACTGCACTCCAGACAGGGCGACAGAGTAAGACCGTGTCTCAAAAAATAATAATAAAAATAAAAATAAAGACTGTAGATATTAGAAATGAAGAATGATTTAGAGATGCTTCCACACCCACTTTTAGGATGTTCTGAGGAAAGAAGAGGCCAACATGGCTAGTCTTACATGAAGAGAAGATTTTGTTCCAAGGGAAATGATGAGGAAAAGCCCAACATGGGGAGGGGTCAGGGGACAGTGGGCAGGTGGGAAATGAGGAAATGAGTCTACCTTCTGCCAGGAAGCTCAAGGGGGCATGTCTTTTTCTTTCTTTCTTTTCTTTTCTTTTCTTTTCTTTTCTTTTCTTTTCTTTTCTTTTCTTTTCTTTCCTTCCTTCCTTCCTTCCTTCCTTTCTTTCTTTCTTTCTTTCTTTCTTTCTTTCTTTCTTTCTTTCTTTCTTTCTTTCTCTTTCTTTCTTTCTTTTCTTTCTTTCTTTCTTCTTTTTTTTTTTTAACAGAGCCTCACTCTGCCCAAGCTGGAGTGCAGTGGCACGATCTTGGCTCACTGCAACCTCCACCTCCTGGGTTCAAGCAATTCTGCCTCAGCCTCCTGAGTAGCTGGGATTACAGAAGCATACCACCACACCCTACTAATTTTTGTATTTTTAGTAGAGACGTGGTTTTGCCATGTTGGCCAGGATGGTCTCCTTCTCCTGAACTTGTGATCTGCCCGCCTCAGCCTCCCAAAGTTCTGGGATTACAGGTGTGACCCACTGTGCCCAGCCGGGGGGCATGTCTTTGAGCTGCAAGAGAACAGGGTCCACAAATCACAGCTAAGACTGGCCCAGCAGCAGAAAATGCAACACAGGATCAATTTAGGGTGGTTGAAGCTTGTGTGACGACTCAGGCTATCACGCTTCTCAGGGTCTGAATCATGGGACACAATCGACCTGCCACCTTATTCCAGCATCCTTTAACCCTCGAGGAGCAGATGCCCTGGCACGGAGTCCGCTCAAAATCTCCTCCCACTCCTGCTGCTGCCGCACAACAGGCTGTGCCCTGGCCAGGTGCCTGTGTCCTCTGTAGAAGGTAGCAGATTAGAAAACAGCAGCAGGTCCTTGCTATGTAGCGTCCTTCTACCTTCTGCTCCTCATCTGTCAAATGGGATGAAACACATAACTCCAGGTTTGGGAGAAAGGTCTGACACAGAGGCAAATGTCAGTGAACGTCTGAGGACTCTGACAAACTGATGGAGATGGGGTGTTCCCGATAACCACTGCCCTCTCTGAACCTTGTGGTAGTCACCCTTCTGCCAAAATGTGTGACTCTATTAATACATTTTGAGTCTCTAGGGGAAAAAAAACAAGGCAAACTTAATTCCTACTAAAGTATCACTCACTGTGTTCTCTACCTTTGCGCTTTCTTTTCAGGTGGTAACAGAAAGCAATCCAGATGGGGTGCAGGTGCTGTAAAATAATACAAAGGTAAAGCGGGAGAAATATTATTTCTAAGTGGAGGAAGTTGTGGTGAGCATGGAGTCACTTTTAAAGACCATGCATGTAAATGCGCTGAGTAGTGCATTTATCCAGCTTGAGGCACGGTCAACACTGCCAACACATTAAGAGTTGGGACTGTTATAATATCGTTTAAAAGAACATGTGCCCTAGATTTTGTTAACTTTTTTTGCTCACTTCTCAAAGCATGTTGGGAACACCATCATTTTCTGAGGCTGAATTTGGCCTGGGCTTCTGCCTGAAATGGCATCGCTGAAAATAAATCACCCCAATCACATATGTGCTTTTAATTCTGTCCACATTGCATTTCATAAAACTGTGAGTGACATGAACATGAACTTCTAAGATGAAGGGGAAAGAATGTCACTGGTGATCTTGCTTCTTAACAAATAAACTGCCTTTTTAATTGTAGCTCTATTCTAGACCTGTACATACATAAGCTTTATTCCACTGTAATCAAAATGTGATGTTTGTCTTTATTCAAAAAAATGTATTATAAGTATCATTCCTGTGACTTCAGACTTCATATTTATCATTTTAATGATGGCATAATATTCCACTGAGAGGATGTACTCCTTATGGCCCTATTAGTGGACATTTGTTTTACTTATTTTTTATTTTAAAATTCTATGAACCGCTTTGTATTTTAATTTATCTATCCCCTACCCCTCCTCCCTCCTTTTGGCTCTCTTCTTAAGATGTATTTCTGGAAGAACCTTTTTTTTTTTTTTTTAAAGATGGTCTCACTCTGTCACCCAGGCTCACTGCAGCATCCGCCTCCCAGGTTCAAGCAATTCTCCTACCTCAGCCTCCCAAGTAGCTGGGATTACAGGTGCCCACCACCACATGCAGCTAATTTTTGTATTTTTAGTAGAGATGGGATTTCACCATGTTGGTCAGGCTGGTCTCAAACTCCTGACTTTAAGTGATCCACCTACCTTGGCCACCCAAATTGCTGACATTACAGGCATGAGCCATCGAACATTTTTATACCAACTGTATCTATTTGATTTAGACACACTTATCTAGGTTGAAAAGAGTAATCACAGGAATTAAATTAGCAGGAATCGTAGAGAGAAGCAGGGTCTGTGGTCGGAGGCATTAATGATGGAGCAGACCTGACTGGTTTTCACTGTCCTCCCTGCAGCTATCTCTTTGATCCAGTTCAAGTGCCCTCTCCTGGCTATGTCAATGAAGTCAACAGCTGCAAGCTAGATGAAGGTGACACTGTTAAATTAAAAGGCAAATGGGGCGGTGAAGTCCTGGTGCAGAAAAATGACCCTCAGAGGCAGGGCTCAAAGAAGACTGATAGCAGCAGCAGGACAGCTGATCCATGGGAGCCCTGCTGGCCTCACCAAGGTCCGCTCCCGCAGGGGGATGCTGGAGGGGACCACCATGCCTGCGGTGTCAACGGCGTTGGCCCTGCTGCTGCCCCACAGCCCACTGGGAATCCCAGTCCCTCCCAGGATAACAGGGGCTCCTGGGCCAGTACTACAAATACTATTCCCCCAACTCAACCCTTCCTGGAAGGAGGGGGCACTCAGAAACAGGACTGTGTATTGCTGGCCTCAGAAGAGACCCAGGTCATGAGAAACAGAGGCTCCAGAGCTCCTTCTGACATGGAAAGTTGTGCCTTGGAAGTACAAGAAGAGCATGTCTTCCAGATACCAGCCCCAGATTACCCTCAGCATTGGGGCCCAGCTGGAGGCAACGTTGATCATAGTGAAAAGGACCGTGTTTCCAAGAACCATACTGTGGAGGAGTCCCTAGAGGGAATTCAGCCCACAGTAGGGGAGCATGGTTTGAATACACCCTTCTCCATGAGGAGAAGCTGGAACTCATTGAATAAGGATGTAGAAACAGAAGATCTAAGCATCTGCTTTAGTGTGAAGGGTCCCGCTCATGTCTTGCCTGTGGTTGACTCGGGAAATAGGCAGGAGGATGCGCATGGCTCCAACGGAGATGGGGACAGGGAGATTGTGGACGTGGATGCAGCGGTGGCAGAGGCCCTGGCGGCTTTAGAAGCTGCTACTGCAGGAGAAGATTTGGATGAGGCTGATTAGGGAAGGGGATTTGCGCAGGGGGGTAAGCAGTGTCATGCTGAGCATGTGGATGCATTTGCTCCCCAGAGGCAGAGCAGGTGATTACGCCAGCATCCGCCAGTGCAGCCTTACCAGTTGTTTACATCCAGCACCTGTTCTGATTGCCAGCATCTGTCCCACACTGCTTGTCACGTGTCTGGAGTTTCACCCTGTGTAGGTGAGCTGTGGGTCATTGTGCCCATATCCACAGAAAATGCAGAAATTGAACAGCCTGCTTGACAACCCTCAAACGTCTCTGAGCACCTGGTACAGATGTTCATGAGAATACGCTAAGATCTCAACCCTTGATCCCAAAGGCACACAATCACAGAGCATCCCTTTTGATTGTAAATTGTTTCCCTTGTTTTTGAGAGCCAAACATTGTACCCAACCCGGAAAAGGTAACTACCCACTTAAAGTGCCTCATGTGTCCCCAGAGCATGGCTTAACCAGAGGGACAATCACCAGGGAACTAATAACTAACCAGTTGTTCAACAGTGGGTTAAGCTCAGCAGTTTTCACAGTAGAGCAGAAGTCCCCAGGAAACAAAGGGTTAGTCATTAGCTGAGATGTGATTTTAAAACACCTTGACCTTAACTTTTTTACATTATTCCTTTTAAATCTCCTTTGGGATTGGGGAGGCTGGCCAAAATAAGTCTTAAAATTGCTTGTCTTATATTTGGATTTTAAGTTCATGACTTTCAGAACAGCAAAGCCATATATGGAATGCTTTTATGCCATTCAATGTCTGATTCTAATTAAAATGTAACAACGTACGTGTCTTTCTGTCTTAACTCAAAGGTGGTTCTGATTTTCTCAGACTATCAGTGACCCTGGGTGTTACTTCCAATGTGAAGAGCTAAGCTAGGCACAGTGGCTCACGTCTGTAATCCCAGCATTTTGGAAGGCTGAGGTGAGAGGATTGCCAAGGCCAGGAATTCGAGACCAACCTGGGCAACTTAGTGAGACTTCATCTCTTTAAAAAAAAAAAAAAAAAAGATAAAGAGCTACACTACAAAATTATACAAGGAAGGGGGCTTTGGCTTTCTCTCCCTTGAGTTAAACTTGATGCTGTAACTAAATGTCCTGATCTTACCTTGAAGACAAAAAAGGCCTTTCTGGATTTCAGCCTTCTGATTCCTAGAAACAAGGACAACCATTATGACATAATTCAATGGAGAATTTAAAGGCATTAAGGATGCTCAAAACTATCTAGAAAATAATCAACATGAAGATGCTTTAGTTTGCCGTTTTGTAACACAGAATTGAAATCCAACTGAATTTCGTTTGATTTCCAGTTTTGCTACGTGTCCTTAGGCATGTTACATATCCCTTCACTTTGCCCACCTGTGAAGTGAGAATGATCATCGTATGTGCTTGTAAAGATTAAATGAGACAATGTAAGTGTTTAGCACAGTGCTTGGCACATTAGGCGCTCAAAGGTGATGTCTTACTAGTTGAAAACAATTCCTTTAAGAAAAATGTTTACATCCCTACAACTGAAAACTCTAATACTGGGACGTGTTTATAATGTCATTATTTCATTTTGGTAATGATTTGATATAAAACATGATTTCTGAGGCTTCCAGCGCCTTTAAGGATGGCACCCTTACAAATGCTTACTGAACATACGTTACCCTCAGTTTGTTTGGTATTATAATGGCAAGCCATCACAAGTGACCTCTATATACAGGGTCACTCAGAGCCCTTAAAAAGGTAAACTCTTGGCATTGTTAATTGCATTGGAGGTATGCCTGCTTTTGTATTTACTACACCAAATACTTAATATTTCAAAATCCTGGTTCCTTCAATAATTTCCTAAGTGTATCAGTTGGGATTATGCTCAGTTGTATAGGATGAGTGTTTCATACACGTAGAGGTTTATGTACCCCTTATGTAAAAGAAATCTGGAGGTAGTGATCCAGGGTGGTAGAGTATGCGTGAATGACCCGGTCTCAATGACCCATGCGGCTTCAATCATTTTGGCTTCCTTCTCAAGGTCACTTTGTAGTCCAAAATGGCTGCTGTGGCTTCAGTCATTACATTTGCATTCTATGTTGGAAAAAGAATATAGGGCCAAACGCCCCACTCCCTCTCTGTTAAGGGCCTCACAGCAGTATAATTCATCCCTTCCACATCTACCTCTTTGGTCAAAATCTGGTCACTTGGCCGCATCTAGCTGCAAGAGAGACTAGGAAAGGTGTCTTTCTAGTGGTGTGCATGGCTTTACCAAATAAACTCAGGAGGCACTTACTGAGAAGAGGAAATGGACAATGAGTTTTGAGGTGGTCAGTTTACAGTCTCTGCCACTGCAGGTCTCAAAAGCCTGGGACACAGCAGGTTTACAAAAGATTGGAAGATTGTACATTCAGTGTGACACCAAAGGGGCCTCTCCCTTTGGTACAGGGACAGGAGGACTGGGCAGCTACCACAACGTACCATTGATAGCTCCAAACCTGACAAAAGCAGAAAATTCCGACAAGGAAGGGGCAGGGGAAGGTATCAGGGCAGACAAGTCTCTTTCTCTTACCCAGACACACACTTTTGCATTTATATACGTGTATAATTTTACGTTTTAGAACAGCTGCAGAGTTCACCGTAACTGACAGCTCTCTAGTTTTCAAGATTGTTTTTTATGAATAACTGCTTCAAAAAGGTCAACAGATGGCCCATAATATCAAGAGTTCTTTAAAAGTAATTCTGGACCCTTTCATCTTCACTCCAATATCCAGGCTCCCCCAAAGGAAATCAGAGGAAAGTAAAAAATCCTTAGGTTGAAAAGGAAGTCCAGCTTTTAGCCTTATCTAGCAGGTTGTCTAACAGCGAGCTGTCAGAGCACGCTGATGTGCGTAGTGTCTTCTTTCTGCAGCTTAGTGCCACTCTTGTCAGAAAAGTGAGGTTGAAAATAGCCGGACTTTTCAAACATTGTGGACAATTTGAAAGCACAGGTGCACTCTGATTGGAAGGCACCAACTGTGAGCAGGCGCAGACTTCACAGCTCTCCATGAACCTTAGGCAATTGTATCACGTGGATATTTACCATGTTAAATCCCGATTTTGAATTAAAATTATTTTATGTATGTGTTACACATAGGTTTCTTGAGCTAAGAAGTTAGATTTAACTATTTTTTTTTGAGATGGAGTTTCACTTTTGTTGCCCAGGCTGGAGTGCAATGGCGCAATGTCAGCTCACCACAAACTCTGCCTCCCGGGTTTAAGCAATTCTCCTGTCTCAGCCTCCTGAGTAACTGGGATTACAGGCATGCACCACCAAGCCCAGCTAATTTTGTATTTTCAGTAGAGACAGGGTTTCTCCATGTTGGTCAGGCTGGTCTCGAACTCCTGACCTCAAGTGATCCACCCACCTCGGCCTCCCAGAGTGCTGGGGTTACAGGCGTGAGCCTCCGCACCTGGCAAATTTAACTTCTTACTGGGGAAAATGAACTGTCATATAAGTATGAAATTACATTTTTTCTTGGTTACCAAAGCAGATGTAGTGAATAGTTATAACTGGAAAAACCAGATACCCAAAGGAATGAAGAGAATTCTGGGTTTCTTACATAGCACATACCTATTTGTCCATGCTCAGTCAGTGCTGGCATTCGTCATTTTCCTCCCTCTGCCCCGCCCTGTCTCTCTGATTCTCTGTTCTCTCCCTACCTCTCTCATCCGTACCTCCAAGCAGGAGGCCTTAGAAAGAATAAGTGAGACACCAAATGCAAGAACAAGAGCAAAGATCTCCTGACTTCCCTGGTCTGGTCATCTGTGTGCAGCCATGCAGCAGGGAGAACACAGTCACGACTGCAACAGAGGGTGGAGCCTCCTTTCCTGGACTTGGACTTGACTCTTCATCAAGGGCACTCCTTTTCACACAACCAGTCTTTATGATGAAAATGTAGAAATTCGGTGGCTCAAGCCTGTAATCCCAGCACTTTGGGAGGCCGAGGCAGGCAGATCACGAGGTCAAGAGATCGAGACCATCCTGGCCAACATGGTGAAACCCTGTCTCTACTAAAAATACAAAAATTAGCTGGGCATGGTGGCGTGCACCTGTAATCCCAGCTACTCGGGAGGGTAAGGCAGGAGAATTGCTTGAACCCAGGAGGCGGAGGTTGCAGTGCGCCGAGATTGTGCCACTGCACTCCAGCCTGGGCAACAGAGTGAGACTCTAACTCAAAAAAAAAAAAAAAAAAAGAAAGAAAGAAAATGTAGAAATTGTTGCTTTCTCGTTTTGTTTCATTTTTTTCCCTCTAAACCTCATGCATGTTAAAATCCCCTGTTTTGGAGTTGGTGACAAACACAGACAAGCTGACATCTGTTTTTCATGGTAAATGCTTTCCCTGTTAAATAATAGAACAGTAAGTAGTTCATATATATATTTACTAAATTTGTAAGTTACTCGTATCAGGTTACAGAAACCACACCTAAGTGGTCTGCTGACTTCCGAAGCACTCCCCCCCTACTTTAAGAAACATTTTATGCAAGTCAATATGTTGATCGTATTTGATGCTTACCTGTAGATTTAGTCACTTGGAGTCAACTATTAGCATTTTTTTTCAACTGAAATGACTATACTAAGTGAATGCCTTTGGCCTGAGATCTAAGATAGGGTACGGCCCAAGGGGGGAGCTCAATACATGTTTGTTGACTGAAATAATAAAATCTTTTCCCAATCTGGTTGGGGAGACATCACGCAGCTAGCCAGGATTTCTGGATGCTAATTATGGATTGTGAAAGAAAGGATGTGGGAGCACAGATCCACAGGAATTTGAGAGGCTAGGAATTGTCTTCGTTATTCAGGCTCTTCACTCTCAGTCTGCCCTGCTGTATTTGAATAATGAGGCTTGTATGGTGGTGTGTGGAAAAGTGGACGGAGCTGAATTTGGGCAGCTGCTAAAGATTTGATCTCCAGAATGAGTCCACGTTACCTTGAGGACAGTAATCCCAAACTGAGGCAAAAACTTTAAGAAAACCGGTGTTTGGGGCCAAGCAACAGGGAGCTTGGCTGACCTCATTTTTCAGTCATTTTGAACTCAATCTCTAAAATCCTGAAAGAAAGGCTGGGCACAGTGGCTCATGCCTGTAATCCCAGCACTTTGGGAGGCTGAGGCTGGTAGATCACCTGAGGTCGGAAGCTCAAGACCAGCCTGGCCAGCATGGAGAAACCCCGTCTCTACTAAAATTACAAAAATTAGCTGGGCATGGTGGCAGGTGCCTGTTATCCCAGCTAGTAGGGAGGCTGAGGCAGGAGAATCGCTTGAACCCAGGAGGTGGAGGTTGCAGTGAGCTGAGATCACGACTTTGCACTCCAGCCTGGGCAACAGAGCAAGACTCCATCTCAAAAAATTAAAAAATCCTGGAGGAAAAGAAAAAAAGGATGTATATTTGTGTAATGACACCCAGATCTCATTGTTCTCTTGACACCCAGTGATAAGGAAAAAAATGTGCATCCAGGATTGACTCCTCAGTAACACGGGCAGCCAGGCATCATGACCTCCAGGTCTTCAGAGGCCATGCCCATGCGGCATGTACCTGGTACTTCCCATACAGGTGCCTCTTGAATCCTAATAAACCAGGGGTGAAATCTGGCTGTGCCTCTTGTTCGCTATGTGACCTTGAGTTTAAGTTTCTTAACGTTTCTGAGCCTCACTTTTCTCATCTGCGAAATGGGGATTATTCCTATATCTAAGAGTTGAAAGCACACATTCTCAAACTTCGGCGTGCCCGTGAGGCACATGGTGTGCTTGTTGAAAAGGCAGGTTTCTGGACCTACCTCCATGGGATTCAGACTTATTAGGTCTTGAGTGAAGTCCTGGCATCTACATCGTCGATGTGAGTAATTCTCCGCACTTACAGAAACACTTAAGACTCGAGCAGGGATTGCCACACCTTTACTTTTATCTTGCACCGGTTATCAATAAAAAACACTGCACACACGCTTAACATAAGCACTTTTACAAACATACTATTTTCTACTGATACATGCCTTATAGTATTTAGCAATACTACGATGAGGTAACAATTACATATCAGAGCATTAATATTTTTTTCACACCACTGGGGTATGTGAAGCCTACTTTGGAAACCTTGTTTAGAAGATCAAATGAACTGGAACTTATAAAAGCTCTCTGTAAATAGACAAAACTGGGCCAATATTTTCGAAAGCACGTAGAGCATACACATGAGTGTGAACCATGCATTTATAATACAAGCCCACTTGCAAATGCACTCAACACTCAGAATTTAAATAAATCAGGAAGATTTCACAGGCCACAGAGGTCCATGGTCTCTACTCATCGGCCAATATGCTGTTCTCTCTGTTTAGATGTTGATGCTTAGAAAGGAAACAAAAGCCTTAAATTACCAATTTCTAAAGACACAAGATCTAGGCTCTAAGGTTTTCATGGCATTAGACGTAAGCTGGGTGACAAAAAACTACATTGAGATACCATCTCACGCCAGTTAGAATGGCGATAATTAAAAAATCTGGAGACAACAGATGCTGGAGAGGATGTGGAGAAATAGGAACACTTTTACACTGTTGGTGGGAGTGTAAATTAGTTCAACCATTGTGGAAGACAGTGTGGCGATTCCTCAAGGACCTAGAAATAGAAATTCCATTTGACCCAGCAATCCCATTACTGGGTATATATCCGAAGGATTATAAATCGTCCTACTATAAGGACACGTGCACACGAATGTTCATTGCAGCACTGTTTACAATAGCAAAGACCTGGAACCA